ATATATATAAAGGATGAGATAACGAATACGTATAGATGGATGAATATATAATAATGTTTATATAGTCATTATATTATACTTCAATACATTATCTAATACACTTCGAGTTATATACTCTCACATTCTCCATGTTTAACCAATACCATCTCCGACTTTCTGTCTCACCCCCATATTCATAATTCGCTGCGCCTGTACATGCCACAACGACTCACACCAGTAAGGGGAAAGAAAAGGAGGAACGGAGTCGGACAAATCTTGTAGGACCTCTCTCCTTTAATGTATGACCAGATTCTATGCTAATGTTATGGTGAAGTTGCAGTTGCAGTTGCAGTTCTATTACAGTACTGTGAAATCCTATCCTATGTTGTAGCATCTACAGTACTGTACAGTAAATAATCCCATTCTGATTCAGCTGACTATTTAAACTAACGATGGAAAAGTTGGTATTTACGAGTGAGTATCGGTACTTACTTGAGTCTTGAAGATAAGTAAAGGGGATGGATATCGAAAGATATGTGATGTGATGTGAAGATTTTTGTTGGATAATTAATAAGTTGGAAGATATACCTACTTATATCTATAAAGAAACGTCTCAAAATCATCGCATTCGTTATTTCTATTAGTATAGTATTGATTAACACACTCACACTCCGGTAGTTTTTCGATATTCCATTCCCTCAATATATCGAACAATATATACCTAGTACATACCTACTGAGAATCAAGCATTCAGAGTCTTCTAGTTCTCGGAACAGATTGTTCTAGCTTGCTTGCTTGCTTGTGCATCTATCTGTTCTGTAGTCATCAGTTCAGCCTAGTCTACCCAGCACTACCTGCCTACCTACCATTGGAGAAGAAGGGATCATAAATATAAGTCGATCCATGATATCTCAGCCCATGATTCGAATGATGATGATGTTTGATGTTTGATGCCATCATCATCATCCCATTTTCATTATTTAATATCTTTCGTTTGCATGTACTGTACTCGAGTATGCATGCATCACATAAATCTGCTGCTTTGAATTGGATTACTATATTGGAATTGGGATTGGGATTGGGATTGGGATCGAGTTGTATGTGATCTTTTGTTATAGGAATATGGAAAGATAAAAGCATACTATTAATACAGCAACTGGTACATACTTACATTACAGCCTTCCTTTCCTTGCTCCGAGAAGTTTGATTTTTATTATCATTATTATTACTCATTTCATGTTAGTAAGATGAATCAAATAGATAGTCTTAGAGTTTGGAGTTGTGACCGAGTTAGAATAGTAATAGGATAAGGTTAGTTATACCGGGGAAGACGAATACGCATGCCATGTCATATGGGGAAAGAGAAGGGGAAAGGGGAAAGGGGAAAGGGGAAAGGGAGAAAGAAAGGGTTATAATCCGCCCTATTCCTATCTATTATCATCTTTTGTTCTGGATTTAAACCTTTTTAGATATTAATTACTTAAATCCTTAAATCCCTAAACCGGTTTAATATCAAGGATACAGCAAGGCAGGAGAAACAGAAACCGATAACAAGGTAATATTAGACTTTGTGGGGGTTACTACTTTTGGTGTTTGTCTGGGGTATAACGGAATGAGTGAGGTACGGACGGCTATACCTTGGTACAACTAAACTGTGACTTGTTTTAAAAAGAGAGGGAAGAGAAGAGAAGAAAGAGAGAGAAAGAGAAGAGAGGACAGAGAAGTCGCAAATATAGTATAGACTTGAACAGTCTTGAAGATTTGATAACCTTGATTGAGATATACTCGAGTAATAATATACTTCAGTAATAACTTAACGTTTTACCCAATTTGATCATTTTCTCTCCTAAAGAAGATTAAGGGTCAGACAAGACGGACTAAATCAATCCCACACTTTTATTCTTTTTCTTTTTCTTTTTCTTTTTCTTTTTCTTACAACTAAACCCTTTCCCTTTTTTTTTCTTTTCCCACCCACACCCATACACCCACACACCCACATAACCCACACCCGCACCCACACTTTTCTCTGCCCTGATACTCCGACACTAGTTTATTAGTTTTTTTCTTCTTTTTTTCTTTTAATAATATTAATGCACTTGCACTTGCACTTGCACTTACACTTGATTTGACTTTCATATCTTTTAACATTTCAACATTTCGTATAAGTTGAAGGCAGGACCCCCCTCCCCTCCCCTCCCTTCGGCATATCTTCTACTCCGTCTTCTACCCCGTCATTTTGATTTTGATTTTGATTTTTTTTTGGAAAATCATACCAACCAACCAACCAGCCAGTCAGCCAGTCAGCCAGTCAGCCCCAACTCAAAACATTAACTCACTCAAAGCAATAACAATAACAACAACTACAACTACTCAATTACTATTTTATATACTACCTACACCATCAACACTATAACCACACTATAACCACACCACATCACACTCCACAACTCCACACTTTACTTCAACTGGCACAACAACAACACAACACAAAACAACACAACACAACACAACAACAACCAATTCCAAAAAAAAACCCCATTCAACCATTAACCTTGAATAATTAAATTCCACCTCCTGGTCGAAATAACTTCATTGACTACTCAAAAAAAGTCTCAATCTATTCATTTCCCGCTCCTCTCCTCTCTCCTCTCCCTCTCTTCGCTTCGGCCTTACTACGAGTAAAAGAGTGAACATAAATCCACTTTATCAGGGCTCACCCACCATTATCTATCTATATATCATCCAACGAAATCCCCCCCAAACTTCTTTCACCTCAAAAAAGATTTCCGAATTTTACTATCGAAATTAACCCTTTCTTCGTTTTACCAATTTCAAATCGATCCCAAACGTTTATACAACCAACTCTTCCTTTTTGTGGTATTTGACTTTATTGAGGATACTGGATAAAAAAAATAAAAAAGTCGAAATTACAGATTACAATTTTCGTTGCGGCGGCAATCATATGCAACGTGTTTCTTCTGCAGTAGATTTTAATAGTCTACTGAATCCTCAGTCTACTCAGGAAAGAGAACAACAAGCTGCTCGACAAAAATTGGCATTAATCCAACAACAGCAACAACAAAGAGAAGCAGAAATGGCGGCCGTCAGTATGATGCCAAATATGGTTGGTGGACACCATGGAGACGATCGTCAAGACCTACCTCGACCATACAAATGCCCTTTGTGCGATAAGGCATTCCACCGTCTTGAACATCAAACTAGACACATTCGAACGCATACGGGCGAGAAACCTCACGCATGTCTATTTCCAGGCTGCACAAAGCGATTTTCGCGTTCTGATGAGCTTACTCGACACTCGAGGATACACAACAATCCAAACTCGAGAAGAAGTAACAAGGCACAGCAGGCTTCTCAAATTGTTTCGATGCATGGCGATTCAATGGCTACCATGATGCCACCACCCAATAAGAACATTACGAGATCAGCACCAGCTTCAGCCTTAGGTAGTCCAAATGTCTCTCCACCTCACTCATACACTTCCTACACCAACAATCTTTCGAATCTCAATCCTTATGGACGCAGTTTAGGAGGAAGCCCGAATAATGGACAAGCCCCCCTCACAGACATAAATATGCTAGCTACCGCAGCAACGCAGGTTGAGAGGGAGAGTGGCACAACGGCAACTCATTACCCACAACACAACCAACAAGCTCGCCATCACCCATATTACAGTCATAGTAATCACAGCAGCAGAAATCACCTTCCTTCGCTTCAGGCTTATGCCATGACCAGAGCGCATTCTCAGGAAGAAGACGACCATTATGCCCATCGCCACGCGAAACGTTCTCGACCAAACTCGCCAATGTCGACGGCACCATCTTCACCTACATTCTCTCACGATTCCCTTTCTCCAACCCCTGATCATACCCCTCTCGCAACTCCTGCGCATTCACCTCGTTTGAGACCTTATGGTGGTGGTTACGATTTGCCAGGAATTAGGAACTTGTCTCTTCACCATACTCCTGCACTTGCGCCCATGGAGCCTCAACATCTTGATTGCCAATATCATGCCACTACCAACCCAACGACGAGTGCTCCAAGAATAGGTCTGAGCATCACTGATATTATGTCGAGAACGGATGGCAGCACGAGAAAACTACCAGTTCCTCAGGCCCCAGTGGCGGTACAAGATCTTTCGAGCCCCGGTGAGATTGGATTCAACACAAGTGGCCAAAGTAGTACCACTGGTAGCGTTGCTGGAAATGATCTCGCGGATCGTATGATCTAAAATTGATATGCCTTGGCGTGTACTCAATCTTGGGACACCTGCAATTGTACGACACTTAATGCGCTGATGAATTTACCGATATCACTGGTATCTCACAGCAGCTAATTGCATCATTTACGGCTTGAATTTATTAGCGGTTATTCATTACAAATCACATCGAACGGGCAATTACAGCGACTAATACCACCATATCGAGACAATTGTCAAGAACCAATCACGGTATACCCGGAGCCAATATCTCGATTCTTCACTCAACCTTTTTATATGATTCATCGATTCAATTTCTATGCGGCATGGACGGGGTTTGGTTGTATACTTAGAGCGGCATTTTCAAACTATAGACTACTTTTTTTCGTATCAACCGATTCTCCAAATCAAGGAGCATCTCACGGCTGGCACAATGTCATTTTTTGTTTTCATTAGCTTTTTTGTTCACCACGGAGCGCGGGGTTGGGAATGCAACATTGGCATTCTTCGGGAAACTTTACACATCCGGAGGGGGGGTACTTATAGACATGGGAATGGAGGGATGGGGACGGGGATGGGGATGGGACGGGGGAATTCGTTCTTGAGGGAGGGATGATACAGATAATGTCGTCAGTGGTTGAGATATTACTGGAAGCAGAGCAGAGCAGAGCTATCCGATGGATGGGATATATGGGGTAGCAAATGATTGAGTAACGATTAGCTAGATCTTACCTTGGCTTGAGTCATACCAACCAAATGGAATGAAAAATCAAGAATATTTAACAACCGATATATGTTTTGAAATCACATGCTTTTGAGTGTTTTGCCGTTTCTTATCTTTGTTGGTGGTGGTAGAAGTAGTGGTGGTGGTAGTGATGAAACTAGATGAAGAGATATAGATATACAAGTAGATGTATCGGTCGGTATATATGTACAAGGATGGATGGGGGAGGGGGAATATGGAGGAATTTAGTTTACTCGTGTAATGGGTGAGACAATGGTAATGGTAATGGGTCCTGCTAATTGATTGATTGTGTGATGATGTGATGAGTTGATGAGGATGAGGATTGTGTGTGATGATGGGTATGGGATGGAATGATGGGATGATGTGATGGGATGGGATAGATGATGGTGTGATGATATGATGATGGTGGGATGGAATGGGAGTATGAATCAGTATCAGGTATATATATATATATATACTCAAGTACCAGCCAGTGCTTGTACAGTATTACTCGTAGGTATCTTTTTGAGTTTTTGGCTAGGGTTATAGGAGTCCGGTTCAATTCAATGTATATTGGATTGGATTGGATTAGTACCGGTAGGTATGGGATACTATCTATGTTATTGTGTGGGGAGATTTGGGGGTGTGAGGGGTGAAGGGTTGAGGGGTGAAGAGTGAGGGATGAAGAGTGAGTGAGTGAGTGAGTCTAAAGTTGTCTAGAACGTGAGGAAATGGGAAATGGGAAAAGGGAAAAGAAGAAAAGAAGAAAAGAAGGGAAAATATTTAGATTCTTTAGATTGATGGATTGGTATTGGCATGTGTTGAGAGAATGAGAGAATAATATGGGAGTGAGTGAGGTTGGAGTGAGTGAGGTTGACTCAAGTGATGAGATGACAGAATTTGACATGTGAAAATGCATATTAGTGTACGAGTACGACATCTCGTTATAGTGTACTCGTACTCGAGTAGAGTATCACTCATATGTTTCAAATATTTATATGTGATTCCATGATATGATATGATATGATATGATAAGATGAACATGTATTTATATGGAATTTAGATTTAATGGGGATGGATATATAGAGTGTAACGTATACGGAGGACTTTCACCTGTATTGAGTTTTATTGTGTCGAGTTATATTGTATATGTATATGTACTCGAGGATTGGATTTAGATATACTCGAGTAATCGAGTAGATGTACTCGAATAGAGTAAATACTCACTCTATATGTAAGATTACCATTGAGCAAAATGGGAACGGGCTAAGAACGGACTAGGAATACATACCTAGGGATGTCACGGTCACGGTAATGAGAAAGGAGATGATTGATTAAGGAGGAAAGACTCCGATTGAATGGGAAGGATGGGATGGGAAGTAAACTTGAAGGGAAGGGAATTAAAGAAGATGGAAATGGAAATGGAAATGGAAATGGAGGTTCTCGGACCGAATTACATGGGATACGGTATGGTAGATATACTTATTATAATTATATCAGTTAAAGTGAGGAAGAGGAATTGGAAAAGGGGGGTGGATATAAGATGGATGGATGGAAGAATAAAAGGATAGAAGATGAATGAGATGAGATGAGATGAGATGAAGAGGTTGCGAAATAAGATCAATATTGATATTGGTGATTGAATTACTCGAGTACATAGATACTGAAGTAGTTTTTTTAATCTGAACCACATTAGGAGTCGGAACATTGCCCGGTTTTGGGATTAGAATGATACCATAAGAAATATACCTAGGTACATATACATCTAAGTATATCGACTTCGACGTCCCATCCCGTATCCTATTGGATTTGCTTTGATAGTGAGGGGTAATAATCATAGGTGTTCACTAAGATCTACATCATGATCAAAGAAACCTATCTGTGACAAATCGAAAAAGGCACAGAAAGGGATATATATATACATGCAGGTACTTGTATATATATCCGGGATATCCGATCTTCACGACTCTACTTGTACACAACTAAGATAAAAGTCGTACTACACAATTGTATATGTAGATATCAAGCCACTACAAGTAAAGTATGGGTATAGTACCTATATGCAGCTGTCACGATTATATTATACCCCAATGTTCTTATGTTCTTATATTCTTATCTATAAACATAGCGTTGAAAGCTTGAAGTTCTACTCGAGTACGTTATAGATGGATTTACGTGAGTGGTAAAAATAAAATATAAACACGAGTTTATTTACCAAAAGGCATGCAAAGGTCACAGTAGGGATATATCAAAAGAATCAGGGCGGGAGCTGAAGATCTAGTACCAGATCTAGTATAAGCGTTTATAACGGCGCGTGCCGGTGCGATATGGCTAACTTGACGGGTAGAAAGGAGAAGGAAAGATTATCAAAACAAGGGGCATATTCAGCCGCTGTATGAAATTTGATGGGGTATGTGGTGCATGAGAGGGTAGTATCGGGGGAGGGATATGGAATGGGTAGAGGGTAGAGGGGGGATGCGAGTGGTGCGGGATAATCGTTGTGGTTCCGAATGGGGTTGCGTACATACCCGAATACTGCGTATGAGATGGTGTTATAGGGAGGGGGCTGTGGAAGATGGGCGAGATTGTGGGGTAGGGTTGTTGGGTTTGGGGATGGGAATAGGAGTTGAAGTTGAAGTGTGGAAGGAGGGTGATGCTGATTGGGAATTGGGAATTGGGAATTGGGAATCAGATATCGGAATTATACTGAGTAGATGTTATTGTGAGGAGAATGTTACTTGAAGATGATGAGACGATGAGATAATGAGATGATGAGATGGTAAAAATTTATTATAATATGATTTTATTTCATTGAATAATAAAAAACCATACACATCCAGTAACCCCCAACCCCCCCATCATTCCACATAAACATCCAACCGAAACCAAACCCAGAAATAACCAAAAAGCATGCGATCGACTCCTCGTATCCAACTTTTGGCAAAGTCAGGTCGTCCTCAGGGGAATAATGAGAGATAAGGCCGACTGGCCCTGGTTAAAACCCGTTGAGATTCATCCAGAATTGTAATGCAACATATATTGTACTCGGTATATTCTTACCGGACTAGTTGGGGGAGGGGGAAGGGGTGTCGCAATGTGATACGAGAAGGGGGAATGGATGGATGAATGGATAGATGGATAAATACGAGTAGAGGAACTTTCTTCTGAATGAAAACGGGATACGACGTTGACACGCGGAACGAGGCGAGATTAAATGAAGATGGATGAAAAGATAGATGATGATGATCTGATTCATGTATGCTTTGCTGATTTGGGTAGGGGGAGCGTTTAATTGGTGGGTAAGGTTGGCTTGGAGAAGATATGGTGTGAATAAATGACTGCCGTACTTTGGTACTGCAGATAAAATGATTCATCTCGTGGTCTATCATTTCATAAATGATTAAAAGCTCGTGACTCCAAGACGGAAAGAGTTGAAGATAGATACATTGATATTGATATTGAAATTGATATATTGATATGAATTCAAGAGATATAGGATAATATTCAAATCTGTGATATTAATATGTGGGTAGCTCAATCCGGGAATCTGGTAGTCTGATGTTTTGCGCAAGAAATGTCGTGCATTTAATTTATTTCTTGGCTTTGGTCATAATGACTATCTGGCGGCTATATTCCAGGCCCGAGTACGGTTGAAAATTAAATGAGGAACGGCCTGGATGATATCAGGGTGGGTTTTGGGGAATATGGTGATGTGATGTGATGTGATGTGATGTTTGCACGGGTGATCAAATAGGATAGAGACGAGACGAGACGAGATACTGTACAATTAGTTTTCTTGTGTTCTGTTCTGTTGTGAGATGGGAAGACGGGAGAATAGGGATTCTCTTCCGAAGAGACGTTGAAGAAGAAATTGATAAAAGGCGGGGAAGCGAAAATAAGGGGGAGCTGAGAAGAGAGGATGGTACCGGCCGGTACTGGTTGTAGATCAGGAGGCGGCGATAATGAGATGTGGGGTGGGACGGATTGTGGAACTTGATATATCTATTTTATAACAAAAAGCCTGAGAAGGTCAGAGAATATGAGTAACATGATAAATGGGAATTACTCAAAGGGAACCGTGGTACCGGAAAATGTTGAGCCTTGAGTCTTGAGTAGATGTAAAGAGGCCACCTTTTGAATATTGAATATTGAATATTGAATAGATTGAGAGACGAATAAAGGTATTTCAACAGATCAACAAGAATAAAAAGAAGAATAAAAAGAAGAATGCCAAGAAGGTTAAATAAGATATTGAAACGGATTGTATCGGAGGCGAGGCAAGGGATAGATATCCTCCGTTATGAAAGGG